GCTGTTTTTCCCACACTTGAAGGTTAAACAATGCCACGTTATGTCAGAATTTCAACTTGTAAAATCATGATTATTACTTTAAATCCTGTAATTATGACTCTGAATTTCATAATTATGACTTTCTATTTGGCTTTTTTTAAATAATTTCATGTGGCAGAAATGGGCTTCCATAGTTTCTCACACTTGAAGGTTAAAAAAATGCCACGTTATGTCAGAATTTCAACTTGTAAAATAATAATTATTACTTTAAATCCCATAATAATGACTCTGAATTTCATAATTATGATTTTCTATTTGGCTTTTTTTTATTATTTTATGTGGCAGAAACGGGCTTCCATAGTTTTCTCACACTTGAAGGTTAAAAAATGCCACGTTATGTCAGAATTTCAACTTGTAAAATAATTATTATTACTTTAAATCCTATAATTATGACTTTGAATTTCATAATTATGACTTTCTATTTTTAATTTTTTTTAGCTTCATGTGGTGCAAGAGGGCTTCCGTAGTTTTTCCACACTTGAAGGTTGAAAAATGCTACGTTATGTCAGAATTTCAACTTGTAAAAATCATGATTATTACTTTAAATCCTATAATTATCAGTTATAATTTCATAGTTATGACTTTCTATTTGGCATTTTTAAATTTCATGTGGCAGAAACGGGCTTCCATAGTTTTTCCCACACTTGAAGGTTAAAAAATGCCACGTTATATCAGAATTTTAACTTGTAAAATAATGATTATTACTTTAAATCCTATAATTATGACTTTGAATTTCATAATTATGACTTTCTATTTTTAATTTTTTTTAGCTTCATGTGGTGCAAGAGGGCTTCCGTAGTTTTTCCACACTTGAAGGTTGAAAAATGCTACGTTATGTCAGAATTTCAACTTGTAAAAATCATGATTATTACTTTAAATCCTATAATTATCAGTTATAATTTCATAGTTATGACTTTCTATTTGGCATTTTTTAAATTTCATGTGGCGGAAACGGTCTTCCATAGTTTTTCCCACACTTGACGGTTAAAAAATGCCACGTTATGTCAAAATTTCAACTTCTAAAATCATAATTATTTCTTTAAATCCTATAATTATGAATTTGAATTTCATAGTTATGACTTTCTATTTGTCATTTTTTAAATTTTATGTGGCAGAAACAGGCTTCTGTAGTTTTTCCACACTTGAAGGTTGAAAAATGCCACGCTATGTCAGAATTTCAACTTGTAAAAATCATGATTATTACTTTAAATCCTATAATTATGGCTTCTAATTGTATGACTGTCAGAGTCATAATTTTCTAAATCATAAGTATGACTTTAAAACCTCATAAATATAATTTTATATCTATTTTTTTTATCTTTTAAAGTAAAAATATGACTTTTGGTCTCATAATTATAACTTACCATGTTTCTTTGTTTTTCTTTCAAGTGGCTTACATGCTTCAATACTTATCAGCTATGACCTTTAAAAGAAGAAAACATATAAATCAATAAATCAAGCAACACATTGTGTGTAATAATCACCTGCTTCTTTATTGAACCTGTGGTTACTGAATCAGTAAACTGTTTTGTTTTTGTAAATGTTTAGTTATTTGAATGTATAATTTAGGGTTTTCGTAAATTTTTGAAAAGACCTGCCCTCTCCACTTAAAAAGAAAAAAATGCACGTGCACAACCCTGTGCCCACTCCCGAGAGGGAATGCCTATTAAACGCGTGCAAGACCATGCAAGAGCCCATTTCTCCTCATGCACGTTCTGTTTAAAAGTTTCTCTTTGCATCGCTTATACAAGCTTACTTTCCAAAAAAAGACTGCAATTTTTCCACTGTGTCGGATTTACCACCAGTAAGTGAAAATGGGGACGAGCACGTAGGATAGCCTTTCCTAAACATAACATGACGATGACTGACAATTAGGAGGACCAATCATTTTAATGATCCATCTGGAATAAATACATCCTCAACAATACCCTTAAGGTTATAAATGATAAAAGTTGGTATAACTTAACATAGTACTGGTGATAAGTGAAAACACCATGCTGCTTCCATATTTTCAACATTAGTTATTACAGTTTTTTTCATTGATTTCATTGTTATGAATGATAATCTCAATCATGATATAATAATCACCTATTTAGAAAACTAACTGATTTTTATTGATCACTTTCAACAAATAAATAGCACTCTTTTGATTTATTTGATAGGAACAAATAAATTAATTTTACATGTCATATACTGTAGCACTTGTAGCCGTTGCTAATTAGTAATGTTCTTCTGTAAAGGGCATTTACAATAACAGTAATTAAAACATAGTAAAGCTAATTTAAGAAGCAAGTAAACATTTCACAGAGGATTGACGGTTTAGGGCTCAAAAATTTTCTCATCTTGGAACCCTGGAAGGAATTGGCTCATTGTGCTTCTATTTTCATTTTGCACTTCTCTATCTATCTCATTGAACATCAGTTGACCTCGGCAAAAGGCCACTCCCACTGAGCCTGGTCCTCCTAGAAGTTTCCTCCCATTAAAAGGGCGTTTTTTCTCCCCACTGTTACTACATGTATGCTCAGTGTCACTTACTGCTGTAGAGTCAATGATGCAAGCAATATCATTATTATAACCATTTTTTTGTTTTAACTGTTAATAGGCTACCTCAGAATCAGCCATTTTTTTGTCATTTATGTATTGATTAATATTACCATTATCATCATTAGTATTATTAAAGTCAGTATTTGTGTTGTTATTATTATTATTAGTGACCTGTGCACTATATTAGTGACCTGTGCACTATAGAAATATTTAGATAGTCTATACAATCCTGTCAAAAGTTTCTAATTCTTCCGTTTAACACGTCTATGGTCAAAAACCCCTACTCTGATATTTTTCTCGTAGGTTAACTTGAGAAAAATACTTTGATAAGAAATCTCCCCTGAGTGCTGATACAGTAAGGACAGAGTGAGCACTCTTTCTTTTTTCAGCTCTTTGCCCCGCAGAGAGCAAGATGACGAAAGCAGCGACGCTGACTAAATCTAGTCACGGGGTTCCCTACCTCGTGTTTATTTCTTTAATTCACTAAAACTAGAAGTCAAGCTGTGTCCGAAATCAGGGGCTACCTTTTTTAAAGGACATATAAAGAAGAAATAATTTTAAAAAAATTATTCGTTTTGGCTTGTTAGAACATCATTAAAAGAAATACATTTGCATTAATTATGCGTTTTGGGGACAATATTTACTGAAAGCCCCGGTGTGCAGCCCCGGAGGAGTGTTTCAATAAATCTGTGAACTCTCCTATACTGTGACACATGCGCTTGCTGTGGCGGAGCTCCTATCTATTAACCCTAATTTCACAAGATTAATGCCTAATCCTAATATAAGAAGACTAGTACCAAAATCTAAAGATATCCTTGATGTAACACGTGCAGCGCTCCCTTGGGTCACTATGATAAATCCATACAGTAACACCTGGACATTTGCATGAACCTGAGATGACTTGCGCTACAAATAATGTCCAGCAGGTGGCGGCTATCTACCCATGTATACTTACCACCACATGCTGGTCATAAAAAATACAGCTGTAGTTGATTTAAATGTCAGAAAGATAGTCCATTATCCATCTATCTATCTATCTATCTATCTATCTATCTATCTATCTATCTATCTATCTATCTATCTATCTATCTATCTGTCTGTCTGTCTGTCTGTCTGTCTGTCTGTCTGTCTGTCTGTCTGTCTGTCTGTCTGTCTGTCTGTCTGTCTGTCTGTCTGTTTATCTATCTATCTATAAAGTTTGTTTACACTATTTAAAAGACACTTTCTTTTTTATTGTTTTTAGTTCAGCTGAAAAATAATCATGCATCAAAAGCTTCAAAGTTATGCAGCGACTCAAGAGTCCTTAGTATGAAAAGTTTTACAAATAATTTGACATTTATTTTTTTTATCATGATCCATTTACAATAACTTCTAAAAACCGACTGACACAGTTGTGTTTATTTTATTAGAATAATAACAGGGCTAAATCTCAGATATCTACAACACAAACAGACAATATTTAGTCATAATTTTTCTGCTCATTGTGTGAAACATTTTAAAATCTACATTAATCATCAGCTGTTAATAGTGAGGCTTGATATATTTTTTTGTGAGTTTAAACTGGTTCAACATAGGTGGATAGGTTTACCATAGCTGCATACTAAAGCATAAATGTGGCTTTAAAAAAAATTTTGACTTTATTCTCAGGATTCTGACTTACAAAAAAAAAAATCAACTTATTAATCCAAAAGAAAATTAAATGTAACAGTTCTGACTTTAATTAAAGAAAATTAAATTTATTAATCCCAAAGAAAATTAAATGTAACAGTTCTGACTTTAATTAAAGAAAATTCAATGTATTAATCCCAAAGAAAATTAAATGTAACAGTTCTGACTTTAATTAAAGAAAATTCAATGTATTAATCCCAAAGAAAATTAAATGTTACAGTTCTGACTTTATTAAGGAAAATTTAATGTATTTATCCCAAAGAAAATTAAATGTAACAGTTCTGACTTTAATTAAAGAAAAGTTTATGTATTGATCCCAAAGAAAATTAAATGTAACGTCATGTCAGAATCTGACAATTCCGACTTTTATCTCAAAATTCTGACTTTAGTTTTAAAAATCCGATTCTCAGAATTATAACTTTTTTATCATTCTTAATCAATTTAGTATTGCTAGAGCCCAGCATTATATATTTGATAAAGTAGAAATATTATAAGGATAATTCTATGAGAATAATGAGATTAATGTCAGAATTATTCCCAGAATAAATTGAGAATACAGTCAGAATTTAATACCTTTTTTTTTTTTTTTTTGAGTTGCCATTTTTTTATTTGACCCGAATCCTTTTCCGTAGGAATCAAATAAAGGGGTGTGTTCGTTTAGGATGGGGGCGGGGCTTAACAACAGCTGGTTGCGGTGATTGAGCGCTGGTGTGGCAACAGACTGGGCAGCATCTCTGCAGACTGACAGATAGCCACCAACTTTGTAGAGTTTTTTTTCTCTCTTTCTTAAGTAAATAATTAATTACAGATTAAAGAAAATAAAAAAGTAGAGCTTCGTTTTTAATGATGTTTGACTTGAAAAAAAGAAATAGTTTGACCTTGAGAGTCAACCGTGAGGTGGAGGAGTTCAGGCGCGTGGCGGTCCGACGGAGAGACAGAGCGACAGGTGACGGCCTTGTCCCAGGTGAGGAAGCCAACTTTCACCCAGGCTTTCTTTAAACACCACTTTCTGTCTCCTATATAATGTTTATATATTATGCATCTCCCTGACAGTGAACAAAAAATTAAATTTGGCACATTAACTGGGATTATATCATTTATTTTATTTATTTTGCGCTGCAGCGTTGGGTCGAAAATTTATGACAAAGATTATTATGCATATTAAAAATACATAAAATGTCCTTTTGCATCAACTAATGCACACTAATGGAAACAGGAAAGGCGACTCCAATAGCTTAGCAGAAACAAACTGTATCAAATTGGTGTTGGTAACATATAAAGCCTTTTTTTTTCTTTATATATATATATATATATATATATATATATATATATATATATTACTTGGATGCAATTCAAATGCACATTCCAGGATTAAAAATAATAAACTCTTAGCCTAAAAGTACTAAAAGGTGACCAGGGAATATAGCACTAATTGTGTGTGATTATACTAGGCACACTTGGTGACTTTGTTAGATTAAGGCTTTATTTAACATGCCATGAACGAGCTTGGACTTTGCCTTTATGTCTTAACATAAACTACTTCTTTAGTCCTTTCAGAAGCACATTACCATACAAAGAGGTTAGTGTTCTCAGTGTGTGATTTAAAGGATGGAGGATCCAACAGTGCAACCCATACTGAGACCAATATGAGGGAACTGTTCTCTGGCTGGCTGGTTTCTTTGAAAAACTATGAAATGTTACTAGTTTATGAACAAAACATCATCTTTTTTAGAACCTGATACAGTGAATCTGATTATGATTTTTTTTTTGACAGAAACTGTGTTAAAAATATCCAGAGGATAGAAGCAGTTCGGCTTTATGACAACCTATATTTGTGATTTTTTTTTATTTTAAGCTCAGTTTTTGTTCTCCTTTTAAACTTCGTTTTGATGACTTTGCCTAATGTGCATGAACAAATTCAAGGTTTAATTAAAGAGGAAAGTTGTGGCGATTTTGATTTCGTATAATTTCTGGCTGCAGAATTACAAAAAAAAAAAACACGTCTCAAAGATGATTTAATCAATTATTACATCCTAGTTATTTGTATTAGCCTGCTTAAGGATAAAAAAAGTTTTTTAAGTCAAAATTAAATTGTTGATGAAAGTATTAAAATCTGTGCATGATAGCAGATTTTATGTGATTGTAAATGTTATATATATATATATATATATATATATATATATATATATATATATATATATATATATATAAATAAAATGTTCAAAGGGGGACAGCACTGCCCACAGAATGAAATACTTTATGAAATACTTCAAATATATTTATTTTCATTATGTTGGGAAGGCTAAATATGTGTTCTGCTATTGCGATTAAACCAGATAAAAGGACTAATAAACACACATATTATTAATCTTCACTCTCCTGATAAAGAGGTGTTAACCCCTGACCAGAGCTGTATCTCCTTAAATGCTACAAAACTCTTTGATTGTAATTACAATCCTATTTTATATATATTTGGATTGAAAGCTCCATTTTAAATGGATAGAAATGCTTAACATTTGTTTGAACTACGTAAGTCAATTTAGCAATCTTCCTATCCTAAGTGTGTAACTGCCTCTTTGTGTTGTTGGGATGAAGACACTGTCAATTTTTGTAAGTCTGGTAAAAGGTTTGATGATGAAAGCATTAAGCAGAAGTGAGAAAACAGACGTTTTTCCATGAAGAAAGCAGCAGACTTTAGCCCTCTCTTCACATGACCAGCAAATCAGCCTCACATAAGCACAGATAGCTCAGCTTTCCAACAGAACAAGGGATAATCTGGCTCAAACTTGGATGTAAATGCAGGTAGGGAATATGTTGGCCATGCACTATAAAAGTAAAAAGCTTGTTTAGTTCTGCTTAAACCCTTTCTTCCTTTAATCTTAGTAGATATGTTTGTTTGACTTAGTCTTCCTAGATAAATAGTTTAGATTGCATTTTCTCCAGCTTTCATTTGTAGCAGATTAACTTTCTGACATGTAGAGACATATTCTTCAGAGCTGGTATACCTGAATTACCCTGATCACCTTAATAAGGGATTTAATGCTTAATCTTCCTTGTAAAAGCAAGGCACAGATTAGTGATAGTTTAAAGTGCAAAATGCAAGTTTGATTTAAAAAAAAAAGACTAATCCAGCAGCATGATTTTATGTTGGTTTGCTACTTTAGATCAGTAATGTTTTGAGTTTTAACCATAAAGAGACACCAGCAGGCATACGGATGGTTTATTTTGGGAATTAACACTTAAAACTGCAGTGTTGCAACTGTTTTTTGAGTTGGACAGCAAAACTCAATCATCAGCAGCTTTTTTGAAGTGAATAATTCTTCTAATTTCACTCTTTCTGTTGGGTATGAATATTAATCTAACTAAAACATAAATTGATTTGGCTAAACGTTTGATTTTAGTAACTCACTTCACTTTTTGTAACATAATTAACAGTTATCAAGTAACCCATACCCAAATAAGTGTATTTTACATCAAATGTATTGGGAGCTAATATAATTTCTTTGTACAGATGTGGACAGTGGAGTGTGTGGCTCATACAGCTGTGGCCGTGCTTGTGACAGGTTTTCTGGAACAGAACCATGTTCTGAACTTCAAACTAAGGAGGATTGTGAAAACAGGCCATTAAAGTCTCACGGTAAGCTGAGAAGGAGAAGCTATTTGTCTCTTTTTCTCGGTTATAGTTCTATTTTCCACAACTTGCCTGAGATAATTGTTTATGCTGCAGTAGAGATAGAGAGAGAGAGCGCAAAGCTTTATGCAGATGACAAGAAGTTATAGCAGATTCTTACCCTATATGGTTGAAAATGCTGGCTGCCTATAGTTAATCTTAAATTTATTTCAAGCTCTACAATCTTGAGGAAATGCAGACAAAGATTGCTGCTTTGGTAATGCTGCCAACCTTAAAGGTACATAGTAACTTACTCTGGTTGCATGCAAAGCTTTTTATGGCAACTGAAGGCGTCCGGCTGGTGCAATATTTGTTATTTCTGCTTATATTTAACTTGAGTGCATCATATGACCACCATTAGGGTTACTGTGTGTGCGTACACAGAGGCCAGACAGTGGGGAGCTCAGAGGACATTTTGGGAGAAAAAAAAAAAAGAAAGTTTTGAGTCCAAAATATAAAACTCGAGTTTAGCTGGGAAAATAGTCTGAATGTTGGAGTATGCTAAAGCTTGAGCTAAAGATCAGGAATCCTTCTGTTGTCTCTGTTAAGTTAATATACATGCGAGTTCATGTCCCTGCTAATATTACTAATGCTAATAGCAATGCTTTTATGCCCTATCCTCCAAACTGTTGGTTTTCTACCCATTGCACCTGTAGCTGAAGTTCTATTTAGTCTCAAAAAGAGGGAAAAAAAACCATCATGACATGACATACAGTAACTGAAATCCACAGATGAATTGATTTTAGTGAATCCTCATGAAAAGAAGGCTAGATAGTAAAACAGCTTATGTCTTTGTGTGGTGCATCCTGCAGAGAAGTAAGATATGGCTAAAAAATTTAACGTTTATTGATCTCACAATGGAAAAATTAACTCTGTATTTAAAATGGACATCAGCAGGTCATATATTTATACAACTCTTAAAGATATATATATATTTTTTTTTTTGTGTGTGAAAATGCATGGCTAATAACATTTCCCAACCAAAACGATAATCTTTACAGGGGCTCCTAAACCAGCTAACCTAAGGAGGTCGCAGAAGATCGTACAAGATCAAGCTTCCAATTCTACCTCAGGATCTGTAAAATCACAACAAGTGAAAAGAAAAACCCAAGAGCAGACTTCCAACAGAGATTGTGGAGTCTGTACTTCTTGCGTTAGCATACAGTATTGCAAGGGGTCTCCCAGTCCCATAAAAGGTGGAGGAAGCAATGTTTTGAACGCAGTGTCGGCGGCGCACCTCAGCCCAGGCAGTCAGACTCCAGGGTTCCCAAACCTATCAAGCAGTTTGGTTTTAAGATCCCCAAGTCCTGGCAAAAGAAGCATTGAGGGCTGCAGTCCACTGAGAGAGGGAGGCCATAGCCCTGCTAAGCTGTCCCCAAGAAGCCTTAGTCCGCTCATGGGAAAACTGCGCACTCCAAGCCCAGTGCAGAAGAAGATGGGCAGCTATTCCCCTGCCAGGAGCTCCAAGTCATGGTTGGGTCTGCACAGAATCTCAAGCGAGAAGCTGGAAAGACGAGAGAAGAAAGCAGAGAAGTCTTTAAGCGTCCCTGATCTAATAATCTACGTGGATGAAAGCAGGTAGGAGTTTTTGCTCATATATTTGTTCTTTTGTGCAAGAAAACAATTTAATATGTATTTCTATGCAGGATCCCTGTTGAGAAAGCTGTTAGCTCTTCGGTAAAAACGCTGCAATCAGCTAACTGTAACGGCCCCGGCGTCACCAACTATAAACTAAATGCCACAGAGAATGGCACAGAACCTTCCCCTGGTAGGCAGCAATGTGTGGAACAGAAGCAAGAAGATCTAATGGAAGCCATGATGGATGAGGGCAAGGCACTCAGACCACGAGGTAGTAGGTATTCCTGTGAGTGGAATAAAGCAACCACAAGAGTGGAAGGAGTTCAACTGGTTTCAAAAGCTGAAAATGAAGAAGATCAAGAGAGAATGAATGAAAGTGGAGGAAGTGAGCCAAAAAATGAAGAGGACAAAGAACAGAAATTGTACAGCATAGCTAATGAACTCCTGCAGACAGAGAGGACATATGTGGCTCGTCTCCACCTTCTTGACCAGGTAAGTGTAGCTCAGAAAGCTGATGCATGTTTAAAAGTTTAAAAATTAGAAGAATATGTTTCCTGTATGGAGTATTTGTTGTAGACCTTTTTAGAAATGTGACTCATGTATGTGTTGTCACATATTGATGACACAGAAATAGAACTGAGTGAGCACTTTTCCTACAAAAATTATGAATTTAAAGTAAACAACAGATGGAAGTAGGGCAGAGGGTAAACAGACAGAACACTGCAACTGCAGTGGCGAAGGGAAAAGTATTTAACACTTTTTAACTGTGCTGATCTGTTGGGTGTCCTTGCTCATCCAAAGGTCCCTTTCCTTACTGGTTGGATCTGCACAAAAATCGTAACTTTTATGAAGTCAGTGTGCATTCTTGACTATCACTTGTCTCATCTTGGTGGAGGCTGTCCTACATTGACGTCAAAGTCCAGGATTGATCCGGCTGTATTCCTAGCGATCTTATGCTCACTTCTTTTTCTTGCAGATTCCTCTATTTTTTTCCCTTCCATTTTGTAAAGAAATATAACCATGAACTGTTAACTTTAACACGATCAAGAATGGAAGTTGTAGCCATTAAGACATCTTAAATAAACCTCATATTTTTAGTAGGTTTGTCGGTGTATCTGTGGTATTTTGATTAGGGCTGAAACAATTAATTGGATTAATTGATTATGGAAATAACAGGGTATTATTAACTGGAGTATAGAGGCTCTAAAATATTCCTTTAGCTGACAGAGCAACCCACTTGGAGTGGTATTTATAGCAAAATAAAAAAAAAATCATCTAGGTCATCTTTGTTAGAAAAAATAATGTTTTACTCTGTCAGTATGCTCCATCTAGAATTCCTCAAGTGGAAAATATTTAGTTTCACCTGGTTTAATTTAGTAAAAATTCTTTAAGGAGCCTATCTCATTATTAATTGATGAATCGAAAAAATAATCCACAGATTAATCGATTTGCTAAATAATCTTTATTAGCAGCCCTCGTTGTGATTGAGGCTTCCTGACTGTCTCTGCAGGTGTTCTGTTTACGTCTTACAGAAGAAGCTGATCGTGGCTCATTTCCTCCTGAGGTCGTAAAAAACATTTTCTCCAACGTATCGTCAATCTACTCCTTCCACAGCCAGTTTCTTCTGCCTGATCTGGAAAACTGCATCATGCACTGGTGAGTCTAGGTTGGGATTATCTTGTGAACTCTTTCAGAATTCTCCTTCTGAATTAAAAATCTCCAAGATGATCCAGACATTTGAAGGCTAAGCAAAAACAGAAAATATATTCATTAAATTGCTGCAAATTTAAACAAGTTTTTTTTATTGCCTTTAAATAAAGGAATGAAAGCCCTGGTCTGGGTAAAGCTCTTCTTCAGCATGCGCCTTTCCTGAGGATGTATGCCGACTACATCAGGAACTTTGACCGAGCCATAGAGCTGGTCAGGACCTGGACCGAACGCTCCTCTGCCTTCAGAAACATCATCCATGACATACAGGTAAGAAACGCTCATCAGAGGACTCCTCATTTTTTCCTCCTCTAGATCTGATCAAAGGTGCCATGTTTGTGCTTTTAAGAGTCAGGAAATGTGTGGCAACCTGACCCTGCAGCACCACATGCTGGAACCAGTGCAGAGGGTTCCACGTTACGAGCTGCTACTGAAGGATTACCTGAAGAAGCTTCCTGAAGATAGCCCAGATTATGAGCTGGCTAACAGTAAGTGATTCTACACCAAACCACATGATCAAAAGCTGATTTAAATAATTAGGTGCAGAGGAGACTGCTGTTATTAGGACCCCTAATGATGTAGTATACGCAGTTTTTAGTGAGGAAACTATTCCAGTTTTAATCTGTGGAGACCCTGATGAAGTAAAGAGCGGCACATGATTCTTTATCAAGAAACGTACAGTTTTCTTCTAAACTGATATTTCTAAACTTTTTATACTCTGTTCTACTTGGTGAATCCAATAACCTCCATTTCCCACATGGTTTAGATTTTCATTGTCCTTGTTACCATGTACCAGTAACTGATGTTGTTTTTCATTAACCATTAAATTGCACGAATTGTAATTATAGAAATACATTTGCTAGATGGAAACACTGCAATTTTAAAAAAGGTCATGTTTACTCTTCAATTAGGTGTTTTTTTTGCCATGGAAACAGTTTTTTTGCATCACACAAGTCATTTGATCAGCAGCTGGACTTGAAGACATGAAGTAGTTGAAGGATGATGGCGCCCTCTAGGGCTGAAATATGAAAAGATCTCATGTCTTTACATCTGCTGCTGCCATGTTTTTTATCATGTGAATGAACATAATCTCGAGCAATTTTGAATTTTATTTGTTATCTAATGGAAATACCACAATTGCAAAACGTTGTATTTTTAAATTTAGCAAAATATTGACATAGTTTTGCAGAAGTAGCGGCTGCTGCTCTCTGAAACAGAGGAAGCTCAATGGTGTTAGTGAAATCCAAACGTCACGTATTGCATTAACAAATGTTGAAACACATAAAACACATCACTACAAGGGGTGGAATAGCTGTTGTGAAGTGCTCTGAAATAATAAACTACAGAAAGTATGACAAGAGTTCAGCACAAGAGTGAATTATCACTTTCCCTTGATTCATGAGGAAAATCTCCTCACTGTCTGGCCACTGTCGGTCAAAAATCCTCAGCTATGTTTACCAATCAGCATCTAGCAGCCAGCTTCAAGACCCGCCCCTGCTCCATAGACCCTCTAAGAGGTTTAGCCTTACTGGAAGTGACGTATTTATCCAATCAGGGCTCTACTTTCTCACTGCTTACCTAGATAGACTGAGGCTCAAACCTACGGTTAAATATGGTGAGGAATAAAATTAAATATTTTTATTTTTTTCATTATTTCAAATGGGTAAAACAACAAACAAAAAAAACAAAAATTATCCTAAGTGACTGTTTTAAATGGTTTATGTCATGATTGTCTGACCAAGCAAAGCAATTTCATACGACGGTGATATCATGAGTCAATACATGTGGCCCTATTGGTTTTATAAAGCATAAATCCTTAATATTGAATATCGTTTTCTCACTGCATAAATTACAGAAAATCGCTAACAAGGGATATTGTTAATTTTTTTTTTCACATAATCAGTCCTTTAATATGGAAGATCATGTTGAAACTATACCATGTTTTTATAGCGTGTTTTCCTCAAAACAGCCAAAATTCACAGTGTTTAAGATTCTTGTTTTAATTTTTCCCACAGAATCATTGGAGGCTATTTCCATGGCAGCCACTCACTCAAACAGCGCCATCCAAAAAGCCGTATGTTCCCACCAAACTTTACACTAATATCTGTGCTGAAATTTCTTTTTAATCATCCACTATCTCAACATTTTTTGGGGGGGGCTCCTTATTATATTTAGTAACAATTTTGATTTTTATGCAGATAGTTCAGTTTGTCGTTATGTGAATGTAGGAGAACCTGAAACGACTCCTGGAGATTTATGAGATGGTTGGAGAGGAGGAAGTGGTCAACCCAACTAACGAGTTTCTCAAAGAAGGCCGGCTGCTTAAACTGGCTGCCAGGAACACATCAGCCATGGAAAGACAACTGTTTTTGGTCAGTTAATAGAGGTGCATGTGCAGAAAGAAAGGCTTTCAAGATGCTAAAAAATGCTGAAATTGGTGTTTTGCATAAACTTTCCATCCTAGTTCAACAACTTTGTGCTGTGCTGCTCTGCAAAGTTCAGCCTTGTTGGGCAGAGATTTACGGTCCGCTGCAGGATCGGAGTAGACGGCATGCAAGCGCAACAGACAACCAATGAAGACCACCCATACACTTTCCAGGTCTCTGGTAAAGAGAAAACTCTGGAGCTACAGGCCAGGTAGGTTCACAGCATGCTGAGGTTTCAGATTTATGCTTCTGAACTAATTTTAGGGGACAGTCGTGCAGAAGGTTTTTGTGCAGACCTTGCATCCTTTGCATGCAGTAAAATGTGAAAGTCATTGCCGTATATGTCTACTTAATGTTCTGTCACGTGAGCAGTTTAGTGCAAACATTGCACCCTGCATTAAGCACTAAAAGTAATCCGTATTTTTCTTGTCTTTGCAGCTCTGAGCAGGAGCGAGACGAGTGGATAAGGGTATGCATTTAGTTGCAGTATTTAAACTGCTTCAGAAAGGCTTTTCTACTGATTAGTTCTTTATCTGCAGGTGATTCAGGAGGCCGTTGATGTGTTTGAGAAGAAAAATGAAAGCTTTAAAATCGCTTCTAAGGAGCTCAATGCAGAGCCTGTACGTTGATTCATAAGGTTGCATTGACAAAGGAATCATCATGTGATTAACACCATGATGCACATTTGCTTTACAGCTTAAGGAACTTGGTAGACGAGCCCCTCGCTGGATCAGAGACAATGAGGTGACCCTGTGTATGACATGTCAGGAGCCTTTCAACGCCCTAACCAGGAGAAGGCATCACTGTCGAGCTTGTGGCTATGTGAGGAAGCTAATGCTTTATACTGTAAGAACCTGAACACAGCATGGTTATTTCACAGGTTATGGTCCCTGTTCTCCTTCAGGTGGTGTGTTGGAAGTGTTCAGACAACAAAGTGGCTTTAGAGTACGATGGAAACAGGCTGAACAAAGTGTGTAAAGCTTGTTACTCCATCCTGGCCGGACAGAGAACTGAGAGAATGGACCGAAAAAAGAGAAGAATGGTGGAGGTAGGATTCATACTTCTACTAAATACTTCCACAGTCCTTCTCTCTGGGCTGTTAACAGAAAACCTTCCCATATTCTAATCTAAGCGTTGTCTTGTTTTGGGTTTCATCCCAGTCTGAGGTCTATCCAGGCTCTCAGGACAGTGTTTTGAGTGGGTTCCTGCAGTACGGGGACAGCTCAATGATTTGGCGACAAGCATGGTGCGTTCTCACCAGGACCGATCCTCCGTTTTTCCACATTTATAATAACCCAGAGGTAATGATAAATCAGTTATCTATTTTATACATTTTATTTTATATAACTTTCTTTAGTTTTGTGTTACTTTTAATATGTTGCAGTTAAGTTTTCCTCATTGTGGTAAAATCTTGATTTTAGAGATAATGCTAACATTTCAGAACTTGGTTACAATTATTCTGTAATTGAGTCTAAAAATCTGGAGAACATTTTTATTTTTATTTTCTACTAAATCTTTTAGAACTGCTGCAAAGTGACATCTTGGAATCATTAGGTTTATCTGCAATTACAACCTATTCACATACCAACTGGTTTGGAGTGGTGGGATTAAAAAAAGCCTTTTTTTTTTCTGCTTTACCTGAACCTTTGAACCTTACTTGGATTAGAGTCTTAGTCAACAAACCCATCGCTGTGAAACTAAAGGACAAAGATGAGTAAAACCTCTTGAGTCACAGGATCTGTGATGAATGTGGCTTTTTTTTTCTTTTTCAAAGGCTCCAGTAACCGCTTATATTCAGGATGAGTTAACAAATATGTGGTTAACTGGTGAATGCAGATTTCTTTCATCTTAATCTCAGTTTCCAGATCTTGTGATTTGGACTGAAACAATTAATCTGATTAATCCATTATTGAAATAACCTTCAACTAATTTAGTAATTGATTAATCATTAACTGGAGTATAGAGACTGTAAAATATGCCTTTAGCTGACAGAGCAACCCACTTAAAGCAGTAATTATACCAAAATTGTAAAATATTTACCTTGTTTACCTTTACCTTGTTTAATTAAGTACAAAATCTTTTTTTAAGAAACCTTTGGTTATCAGATTATTAATCAATCAATCAAAAAATAATCAACATGTTAATTGATTTGCAAAATAATCGTACGTTGCAGCCCTACTTGAGGTGATAAAAATCTGAAAAGACCTAGAATGATTTTGCACAGAGATGTCAGACAAAGAAGCAAGTATTTGTTGCTAAAAAAAACAATCATATAATTGTTGATTATATTTAACCATTTAATTCTCAGCATTTCTTTTTCTTTAAATTAATTAAAATACGCAAAATTATGTCACTTCAGAATAAGAGGTTTTTATTTTAAAGCTTTTAGATTAAGGAACCTAACTTTGGCTTTAATTTATTGCTACATGTATTGAACAGTTATCTTTGACATTTTAGGGGTTTGACTATATCCTATTTGCTAAAAACAAAAATAAAAAGATCTTTGATCTGACATCAGTCACTATAGAGTACCCAACAAAGGATAGGTTTTAGGAAACATTTTATATGTTTTATTCAAGCACAGTCATAATTTCCCATCGAAATCAGTTTTTAAGTTGTTTTTTTTGCCACTACAATAAGACCTCTCACCACTGTTATAAATTAAGATGTTTCTGGTAATAAACTCAGTAATTTTTTAGCTCCTTTTTTTTTTTTTTTTTTTTTTAAATGTCCCTTTTCACTGCAAAAACAATCTAGAAATAATTTAAAAAAATTCATTCGATTTATTTACCCTTAATTTGAGTAGATAAATAAAATGATTTGCCAATGAAATTAGTATTTTTACTCTTAAAATAAGATTGTTTTCACTTGAAATAAGGCAATTAACTTTAAATGTAAATTGTCTTGTTTCATTCAATTAAAGAAAAAAAATGATTATTTAGATAGATTTTTTGCAGTGTTCATTTTCAGATTATCTGTTTGCTTTGGGTTTTAACAAACATTACAAATGTTGTCAAATGAAGATGTTTTCTTTTAGAGGATTTTCCTTCTTTGTCAGCAACATTTTCTTTTCTTTTTTTTCCCCCTAATATCCAGGATGAAAAGCCCCTGCTTGCTTTGCCACTACTCAGCTGTGTGATAGAGGAGCTGCAGGGTCAGAACAATTTCTGCCTCAAACAGTCCAAAACCAACTACATCTTCTCGTGTGACGACCCGGACGTGAAACAGAACTGGTTGACTGTACTTAAACTTGCTGTGATGAGAAGTTTGTGATCCATAATCTCTGGGAAAATGATCTAACGAGCAACATGTACCTGAACAGATAAAGGAATATTTGAAATGAGAGCAAGAGGAGTGTTTTTATTAAAAGTGGTTGTGTACTTTATTTTCTGACAATGATTGAGAGTTAAAAATAAATAAAGGAAAAGGTGTTTTTAACATGAGTCAGACTATCCCTTAACTACAGAGATGTTTGCTTCTGCTTTTGTACAAGTCGTTTCAGGTGACTGTTTTCTTACAGTGAAAAGGTGCAGGTTTCCGTTACACACAGAGATCATCATTGCTAAAATACATTCAGCTGATCCCATTTCTTTACATAAAAACTCATTTAAATTCACAATAAAGACCTTAGAGCTATAACTAAAACAGGAAACAGTGAGTAGACCTTTGTGTTTTTGCAGTTAATGCAGCATGTTGACTAAAATCAGAAACATGCTGTGTAGTAAGTGGTATTACTGTACAGCAAGTTCCCATTAATGTGGATAAAACCAAATATTTTCTTCCGCTGTTTATTGTCCTGTACAGATGATTATTCTGAAGCGTGTTTTCAGCATGAGCTTTCAGCTACACCTTAAAGATGTCACGGAATGTAAAAGCTGTGTGGTTATACAGTGGTTACACTTGTAAAAAGTTTCTTATCCCTTAAAACTTTTCCCACTCTTACAAGCTTTCGTATTTTATATGAGCAAGAGGAAACGGTAAAAGCTTAAAGTGGCATTTCTATTTGGTAATCTTTGCTCTAATTCCCCTCAAATCAAATCCAGTGTATACAATTAACTATAGCATTCTATTTAGTTGGAGTCGGGGTTTGTTATAAAAGCTTTAAACATCAAACAGAGGCTGTTTAACTATTTCCCTGAGCAGGGAGGCAGTGTGGATCTAGAGCCTCTTTCTTTCTGAATGCATTAGTTTGTTGGAAGCTGCCTAGTCAAAGCCTGGAACTAAATGTGTTTGGAAATCAATGGAACAGTTGCCCTACACTGCAAAAACGATTAGAAATAAGTAAAAATAAAATTGTGTATCCTTAATTTGAGTAAATAAGATGGTTTGCCAACGAAATTAGTATTTTTTTTTTTACTCTTATAAGATAATTACATAATATGCACTTGCAATAAGGCTATGCAATTGTTTTTTTAAATTTAAAATCTAAGAAAAAAATAAAAACCTATTTTAAGAAAAATGTACCTATTTAGATTTCATTTTTTTGCAGGGTACATCCAACCTGATTGATTTTACAAAGGGCCTTAATTGTATGCCTTTCTTGTTAAATAAATTGAGGTTTACGGTAATAATGTTAGGAATTATGGAAAAGCAGAAAGTATAGCAGCTTCTCCAAGGCACTGTACTTTAAACATTTTTTTTATTACCTTAAATGTGAAAGAAGCTGCAGTTTTGAACCAGATCCCACTGAAACTAAAATAACCTTTTATTAGCTGTGATTTTATGTATATTATGCATAAAGAGCTGCAGCCTTTATGCATCAGACGATAACGGAACACTTTGAAATGCATATATAATAGAGGTGGGAGATGTAGAGCCCTGGCAATATCTGTAGCTCTGCTTAAGTTTCTTTTATATTTCCAATACTAATAATAAAAATTGAATGCTTTGTTTTATAGCTTTTGTTAATGACAGTAAAATTATTTCACTTTCCCTCCTGGAGCTAAATTGGTGTTTACCGTTATTAGGATGCATCTTAAAGCTCGACTGGCTGCTGTCTAAAAGTGCATAAAGCCCAACATAACATCTCTATAGCCTTTTAATGTTCAGACATGGTTTCCCTAAAAGTCACTTTAATGGTGCCGTTACAGACCAACATGCTGATGTTAAAGGCAGTTTGAACTGTTGAAAGACCTCAGACATTGGTTTATATAAAGCGGGCCAAAAGTCTCTATTATGAAGTGCAATACTGGCAGACCTGATTTCACACAATACATAAAGAACAAACCAGCCGTATTTACAGGAAGCCTGCTTTCGTCCTTTTATCTTGTCAATGAAATGTTTCTAGAAAATAAAAAAACGTGGCTCAAACACAGCTGTATGAAAATCTCCGCAAGTCTCTGAAAAGTAGAACGGACCACTGAGTTCAGAGCATCTGGCTGTCTTAGAAAGGACCCTCAGTAGGCAATGACATGAAGTCTTCTGGATGCAGCAGCATTCTGAGACAGACAGCCCCCCCTTGTTTTAAAACCAGAAGTTATGGAGAAAAAAAAAAACTAAAAAAAAAAAACCTCAGCTGCAGCACAGCTGCTCTGAAACCAGCAGGCTGTCATAGCCGTAAATTTCCAGCAGATGGAGCAGGAATAGTCTGTCTCCATGGGGATCCAAACCCATGGCCCTCACACTGTCCTGGGTGATGGTGGGGTCCGGGCTCCCCGCCACCTCGCTCAGAGTCTGGAAAATCCGGTTATTCTGCTCCAGGAAAAACCTTAAGAAGTAAAAGAGGATTTAATTTAATTTAACTCTCTATTTATCAAGGCTAAAACAAAGGAGCACAATGATACATCTGTGTTAGTCGTTCTGAATGAAAATCAGAATGGAGGACCAGATGGACACTGAAAAAGAAAAGCAGTCTTTTTAAATGTAACACTTAAATCATCCAATTTGACAAGAGTTTTTTAATTGCTTATTTTTATCTAAATTATTTGAGACGATAAATAGTATTTATTAAATACAGCAGGCACTGGTCATTTTGTGAACTGTGGCATTCTAACCAATGAGGGAGCCGGTTACATCTGAGAAGCAACTGTGATTGGTTAACCTGGTGCTCAGTCTGCTCAGCAACCAGAAAGATCACAGGAAAGATAAATGGACAAGTGGAAAGTCAAAAGGAAATTTAACTGTAAAAGGATTTCAAATTACACACTGAAACATTTTTTAATGTGTAATTAGAATAGGTACTTAAATATCCATTTAGATAGATTTTTTTTAAAATACCTTTCTAAATTACAGTATTTAATAATGAGATATTAAAATCTGATTCTAAATTCCTCTTAATAATAATTTAATTTAAAATGTGCAATTACAAAAAGCTGTTCAAATAGGATTTTTTTTTAAAACACTTTTGATTGGACATTTCTACTCTATATAAGTAAAGTATTTGATCACATACATTGTCAACACAACGGGAAAAGCCTCCAATTAGTGCATTGGAAATAAATCATAACATAGAAATCTATAAGTGGCGCTAAGGAGACATTATTACAATCACACACATCCAAAAAAAAGAAAAGAAACAGAACAGGATGAAAGAAACAAAGCAGAAAAAAAGACTAATAAATTATATATATATATTAAAAAAAATGGAATTATAGGTGATTTATATTAAATAAGGTTTCTTAAGTTATATCTGATAGATACATGTTTATATCTTTCTATTAATTTAGTCATTTAATTCTATTGAATTTTGTCCCTTCTGTAAAATAAAAAAATATGACCATACTTTCCTAAATGTTTCATTGCTCAATTGAAAAGAGTAATCTCATCTGGATTTTTTAGAGTTTTTACGGCACTAGTGGCCCGTAATATGGACAGTAGGCTAACAGGAAAGGGGGTGGGACATGAATCCGATTTTTCTTATTGCATGATATAAATGTAAGGTTCAAAATAGTTTGTTTTTCTTTTTATGTGACTCTCTTGGTCCTCCATACAGCTGAACTCTGGGGTGGATTTAACCTGAAGTTGCCTCCAAGATCCTGATAAAAAATTGGGAGAAAGTCAACATTCATAAGGAACTTACAAAATAAAAAGGTCCTCCTCGCTGGACATGCAGTCACCGTTCTCTTCCTGGGAATACAGCAGCATCTGCCTACACACACAGACACCTCTACATGCTTATTCCCTCTCTAGAATAAGATTTATACAGCTGTTCATATAAACTAGCAAACTGTTTGTTTTTTATTGAATAAAAGGGGATGTAAATGATAAAAACCTGGTTAAGTTGAAGGATGTATAAAGGAATGAATCATTGTTTATTTTATCTTGTATTTCCAGTTCCTTACCTTTGCTCTGTAAGCTTGCGGTACTTCTCCCTGTCTGCGGCGCTGAGGCGGAGCAGAGGCTTCAGCCCGTCTCTGTAGGTCTTCACATTCTGATTATCAACGTAAACATCATACAGATCTTTCTTCTCCTCAAAGATCTTCTCAGTCGTACCTGAACATGCAAACATGACAGGTTATAATTCATTTCCTTCCATGGGCTGAAATGTTTCAGGAATCCACTCACATGCTACATAGGAGAGTTCGTTTTCCAGGGCGCTGATATCCGCCACATTGACATAGAAGAAAGGCCGAAACTCGGGCACTGCCACGCCGACCCCTGGGATGGAGATGTTGGCCAGGCAGCAGCAGCAGTACACTGGGGGGGTGGGAAGGGGGGGAAAAATTTAATCGTTTTTCTTTAGACTTCTACTCAGGAATCAGAACGTTTCCCACCTCTGTAGCAAACCACGCCCACAGGCGGAGGAGAGAAGATGAGGATCCGTCTTCGAAGCAGAGCCAGTTTCCAGAGCACCATGATCTGCTCCCCAAAGAAGCGAATGAACTGAGACATGCAGCCTGCTGGGTGGGTGATCTGTTCCACACAGAAAAATACCATTAAAACCAAGGGCGGTTCTAGACAGGGGCCAGGGGCCCAGTAGAACCGGTCCTGGCCCCTAAAATCTAAGTTAGTTTTTCTTGAATTAAATTTATTTTCCTTGGTTTGAGCACACAGATAGGAGAATCAATGGAATATGATTTACATTTAAAATAAGAAACTCCTTTGAAAGATTATCTAATTAACCTTCTTGAATTAAGGCCAAAAATGTATTTTATGATGTTTTTACTTAGTTATGGCAGTTTAATACTGAACCAATTTCTGATGACGGCATGAAATGACAGAAGAGTATGGCGTCACATTTATTTCAAAACGCCCGCGAGCAAAATCAACATACTTGCAGTTATGTTAAACTACTTCTGCACATGGTTTATCTACCACCGCACAAGAAAATCACAGATGCGCGAGAGAGAGGCTTTAGTGGTTTAATTCTTATTTTGTTGTGTTTGCTGGTTATTTTCAGTTTTCAGGTTTTTATTTGTTGCCCTCTGCTGCCCTCTTGTGTTCTCCTTTTTCCCTAGCTCCTGTCCTGTTCTGCTCTGTTCACACCTGCTCCCAATCTGCTCGT